ACACACACACACACAAATACACACACACACACACACACACACACACACACACACATATACACACACACACACACACACACATACATTAATTGCAGTTTCTGAGACACTACAGCTTCGGTGTTTGGAGGTCACCAATCTTTGGGGGGTCATTTTCCTCTCTAATTTTACCTCTAACTCCAGACGACTCCATTTCCTTCAATCGGAAATGTCTCGACCTTTATTCATAAGAGATGGGTATTTTTTTTAATCAAAAGCTCGGCAAATGAACAAGCTTAAAGCTGAAACCAATAACCTCGTATGCCCCCCAAAAATTGACGAGCGCCTCATTCCAACGCGTCATGACTCATTGAATAGAGCGACTTCCTGTTTCTTTCATATGTAACATTTTTAGGAATGGAAATATTTGTGCTGTACTCTTACACTGTTCGTTTGAAGTGTTTATTTGAGACAGATTTTATCTTTCTCTTTATGTATAATTCTGTTGCACAGTAGGCCGTTGAAGATTGGGACACGCGGGTGTTTGTGGTGTAGTGGTTGTTAGATGCTTCGCCGTGGCATTCAGAAGACCCGAGCTTGATTCATCTGTGTGATGGTTAATTCTTTTTATTTATTTATTTATTCATTTATTTATTCATTGCATTTATTTTATTCTTTCATTCATTATTTATTTATTCATTCATTCATTCATTTATTCATTCATTCATTCATTCATTCATCCATCCATTTTATTTATTTATTTATTCATTCATTCATTCATTCGTTTTATTTATTTATTCATTATGTATTTATTTATGTATTTATTTATGTATTTATTTATGTATTTATTCATTTATTTATGTATTTATTTATTCAATTCATTTATATATTCATTAGCTAAGTGTTCTTTGGTTTTAGGGAGAGGGGGGTTCTTTTCTTTTACTTGTTACTTTTGTTTTAGTTTATTTTGTTTTAAGTTAAATTCGCTCTTAGTTGTAATGGGGAAGTTTACGTGAGTGACCGGTCTTATTTATTCTTTATTTATTTTTTATTTTTCAACTGTCGCTGTTAATTTTGGTTACTTAAGGAAAGCGGCGTATGTGGTGTAGCGGTTAGGTGCGTTCCTGTCGCACAAAGAAGACGTGGGTTCTGTTCCTGTGTGTGCGCGTGGGAGGGGGGG